AAGATATGCAACATATAATTTACAATTAATAACCTCAGAGATATATATTGAAAATTGTATTAAATTATGCTTTCTTAGCCAGTTTTGAGTTGGGGTTCATTTTGCACCATTAGACTAATTTTCTGGAAAAAAAAATATGGACGAATGAAAATGTGAAATTTTGCACACACATTATTTTGTACTAGACCCTTCTTCAAAATGAAACACAAAAATCCAAATAATTCTTTCCAGTCCCGCCTTGTCAAAAACCTCAATGGAGTCCCTTTAAGGTCTAAAATTCAAAAGTTTGGACTGGCACCTTTTGGACTGTCCCTGATATAAAGAAATAATTTAATTGCTGTTAGGAGGTAAAAAAAAGGTAACTTACACTGGACCGACACAGCAAACTGAGATTTCAACTTTTGTATTCCAGTCTGTAAGATTGGCAGCCGACACTTCAATTTCCTGAGGCAGTAATGGTCTGCTGCCATGGAAACACCTAAAACCTCTCCTGATTGGTCGACAGAAATAATCAAGGTTTCAGAGAGGGATGACTCATATATTGTACACTGAAAAAAAAGAGAAAGATTTGGATATAAACCACTAGTAACAACTGCTTTTTATTTTGTGTCATTATAATGTTTCTCATTCAATGGACCAGCACATTTTTGGGTGTTTTTTTTTTTGTTTTGTTTTTTTTTTTAAATTAAAAGACACTTTGTTTGAACTGTTTCAAACCCTTAAAATCAGATTTAGAACAATTTTGTGTCATATTTAACACCTTACATACATCAAATGTAATATGTGGAATAACAATAATGTCACATTTTTAAACAGTAGTCTAATTAAACTGTGGAAATAAAAATGAAGAAAATAAAATTTTAGTATATTTTTTTCAACAGGAGCAAGACACTTTATAATTATATGCATATTTCATGGTACCTAGCTTGCTTATATAATTATGGAATGTCAATGGTTCTATGCCTGTAACTGCCTGTGCCTGAATGTATATATGATATCTGTATGGTATCCTACAGCAGTAGGCTGGAAAGTCATTGTGTGACCTTTCAAGAGTTGTTGTGACTTAAAGTGTATAAAGCTATATATTTGATGCAAAAATTTATTGTTTGAATTTTAAAAAGACTTCCAAAATGTTTGTATGAAATAAATATGGTAATTTAACTCTTTGAAGCAAATGGCGTATGCACAAAATCATTGCTTAAAGGATAAAAGCCTACTTAACCCATTACGTCATATACACGCCTTTTAACGCCTTTTTCACCCCCCCCCCTTTTTGTTGTCTCAAATGATGAAAAAATGCCTTATCTAGGCCCCAAACACTTGTTTTTGTTTGAGAAATGTTGTTAAAAAAAAAGTGACCTCTTTTTCGGCTCGGTCCCCCAACCAAAAGATACATCAGGGGGGTTGCCAGAAGGGGATGTGCCCCCTTCTGTTTGGGGGGTTTGAAGGGGGGCGGAGTCCCCCTCATCGCCAAAAAAATTTTGGGACTTGTGAGAGGCTGTAAATGACCCCAGATTGATCATAAGGTAACGTGTAACCAACGCTGAAAAGCATTTGACTCTATCTCAATCCATTGAGAAAGTTGCAGCACTTTGAAATCAATTTTGATGGAAAAAATCAACCCAAAACAGTGATTTTTGGCAATTTTGAGATGTCCCCTCGTTGCCATGGTAACAGAAAATTTACGCCTGAGCATGTTGTTGCAAGGGCAATGGTCCAGTCAACATTTGTGCCAAGTTTGGTTAGTTTCGAAGCAGTTTTTATAGTATTATAGCAATTTGAACTTGTAACGGGAGACTTTTCAATGAAAACAGCCATTTTTCACAAAATGCTCATAAAGTAATGGGTTAAAATAGCAAAATAGCATTTTATTCTGTTTAATATGTACATTATTCAAGTGTATTGAATAATAGAGACATTCTATGTTACAACTTTTTACAGAATCAACCATATAATAATGGAACCAATATAATTTTACTATTGATAAATTTAATTAAAATATTTCATAAGATATTAGATTTTATAGCCCTTTCAAAGTACATTTGCCCAATCAAGGTGAGTGAAACAAGATAAAAGTTAAAATAAGTCTTCATTTTGCCATAATTCCATTCAGTTTTACAATTTACTCCACATGAATGTGAAATAACTGACATGGCAAAAGGGAATTTCTGTAAATATCCAACATAATTTACCTGTAATGTTCAAATTATAAAAAGAGTGGGACAGTCTTTTTATATTTTAGGCAGTTTTATGTTTTATTCTAAACACGTTCTATAAACTATTTTATAAACTTTTATTCTATAAACTTTTGGTCAATCACCATTATAATTAATCTTTTGAAATTTATTGACAATTCATCTCATTGAGTCCAGTATTTTTAAGAGTTGAGAATTGAGTACAGCTCAAGTCAGTGCTAGGGGGCATGAGGGATGTTGCACTTTTTCATTATCCCTCATGTACAGACTCAACTAAACCGAGTCTGCAATTTTCATGTAAATATGCTGTTTTTAATGCTTCCATGGGATCACTTTTTTCTTCCAGATATTTGATGATGAAAAAATGAGTATAACGTCACTTTAAAACACAATGGTAAATCAATTTTCTGTGGAAAAATGTAAGGGAGATAACTCACAGCTTTTGTAAAAGTAGAAACATACACAGTTCCATCCCCTGTTTCACGTATTGGAATCCTAATTCTGTATATGCCGTCTTGTTGAGCAACATCCTTAAAAAGTAAAACAAATTATTACTTCATTTTCAATACTTCTATCAATGAGTATATATAATATGAAATGATGATACATGTACAAATGTATATCATGTCTGATGACTCTGATTACAGATAAAATAGTTGATGTTGCATGAGCCAGATGAGCCAAAATATTTCAAGAAAATTAATCTTCAGAAATGTACAAAAAATATAAAATAGTATAAAACATATCTGTAGCTTCAAACATATAATTGTCATTCCGTAAAAACATATGTAGATTACACTAATGTTGAGAAAGTGGGGTTTTTGTGGATATGTGTGGAATGTGGAAGTGTTAGTTGCATGAGCAGATGAGCCAAAATATTTCAAGAAAATTAATCTTCAGAAATGTACAAAAAATATAAAATAGTATAAAACATATCTGTAGCTTCAAACATATAATTGTCATTCCGTAAAAACATATGTAGATTACACTAATGTTGAGAAAGTGTTTTCTGTGGATGATGTGGAATGTGGAAGTGTTAGTTGCATGAGCCAGATGAGCCAAATATTTCAAGAAAATTAATCTCAAAGAAATGTACAAAAAATATAAAATAGTATAAACATATCTGTAGCTTCAAACATATAATTGTCATTCCGTAAAAACATATGTAGATTACACTAATGTTGAGAAAGTGGTTTCGTGTGGATGATGTGGAATGTGGAAGTTTTAGTGCATGAGCCAGATGAGCCAAAATATTTCAAGAAAAAGTAATCTTCAGAAATGTACAAAAATATAAATAGTATAAAACATATCTGTAGCTTCAAACATATAATTGTCATTCCGTAAAAACATATGTAGATTACACTAATGTTGAGAAAGTGGTTTCTGTGGATGATGTGGAATGTGGAAGTGTTAGTTGCATGAGCCAGATGAGCCAAAATATTTCAAGAAAATTAATCTTCAGAAATGTACAAAAAATATAAAATAGTATAAAACATATCTGTAGCTTCAAACATATAATTGTCATTCCGTAAAAACATATGTAGATTACACTAATGTTGAGAAAGTGGTTTCTGTGGATGATGTGGAATGTGGAAGTGTTAGTTGCATGAGCCAGATGAGCCAAAATAATGCAAGAAAATTAATCTTCAGAAATGTACAAAAAATATTCAAAATTCAAGTAATAATTTAGTAATTAATTTATGTGTAATAAATGACTGATTTTGCAGTATATTATTACCATATTTCTACTGCCTGACTAATGCAGCGAGAACTTTTTTTGTATATTTTAACATTTTGGTAATTTACATGGATTGTAAGTGCCATTTTCTTCACTTCACTATATTTTAATTTAAACTACATTTTCTTATATTTCATTAAAAATTAGCATGAATATTCAAAGAATTTTATATGGGAAACAATCAATATATATGGTGAATACTTAATATAAACATAATGATTAAATTGCAATTAAAACTTTGATAAACACACTAACTGCACTTGTACAATGTATATCAATTAATGAAAAAAGACAGCAAAATTAAAATAAAAGTTACCCTTAAAAAAAAATTCTATCTGTGTATATCAATCAATGACTGAAACACAGAAGCAAAATCAAAATAAAAGTTACCCTTAATAGTTTTCTATCTTCAGAGGAAAGCGTGGAAACTTGGGAGAATGTTGCACGTTTTTTTGCATTGTTTTAAAAAACAACATTTCCTCCTTTGAAACACGGGTCAACTGAAAAAAACAAAAAAAATTTTTCTTTCACTAGTTTATTTTTTGAAGGGCATTGGGGTTCAAATTTTCCAAAACACTACAAATGTAAATAATGAAAAATAAAAAGGAAATTTTTTTCACTTAAATTTTTTTTAAATTTTAAACTGTGAAAAAAATTAAAAAATAAATTTTTACACATACAGGGGGGCAAAGGGGAAATAAAGCCTTTAAAATAAAAAACAAAAAACACGGGGGTAAAAACCTTTGTTTTTATAAAAAACAAAGCAAACAGACCCCAATGCATCTAACACACTTATGGCTTTTAAAACTTTTTTAAACAGTTAAAAATTTTTATTTTAATACTATTTTTTTTAGATATGTACAATAGAATTTTTATTTGGTTTTAACATAAATTTTTAAACTTTTAAAAAACCAATATTTTTCTCTAAAGCTTCACATGGTTTTTTAAATTTTTTCAATAAATTTTAAAACCACACTTTCAACATCTTCTATTTTTTTAAAAAAAACCCAACATACAGAGGGATTTTTCTACCTAACTAATATATTTTTTTTTTATACCCCCCTAGGGGGAATTGGGCCACCCTGGGGGTACTGCAATACCACCCCAACCCGGGGAAAAAGGGGAGCAACCCCCTACATCTCCCCTGGCCCAAAAATTTTTTTAAAATTTCAAATTTTCCCCAAGGGGGACTACAGTTTTTAAGGGCTAAATAAGAACAATACTACATTTTGTTTTTGGGCCAAAAGGCCAAAAAACTCCCAGTAGAATTTTTTGGGGGCTTTTTTTTAAAAAATTTTAAAATCTTAACCCTAATGAAAATTTTAAAATTTGGGGAAAATTGAATCATGTTTTTTAAAATAAAAAAATCCCTATGAACATTCTAAAACAATTCTTTATATAGAAATAAGGCAATAAACTAAGTCATATTTTCCTTTATAAAGCATCTTAATAAGTTTATTGTCTGCTAAAATGTGGAAAATATTCAAAATAGTTAATTTTACAATTTTAACCTAGCAAATGGTTTCTATAAATAGATTTCAAAATGAAAAGATAACTCTTAATAAAACTCACATAGTAGGTGCACATAGTATTCTACTTGGTTAACTTTCCTTAGGCAAGATAAGTCATTGTGTAGCATGATAGTTCGTGAAAAACAAAATATTTTTCAATCAAATTAAAAAATGAGATATAATATTATCAGTATAGTTACAATTTATCATATCACTTGAATATGTTTACCAAATTACCGTATTTAAAAATATATGTAAAGAAATGACTGTTATAAAATTTTAAAATTTAAATTAATTTATTACTCAAGTATTTTCTTTGCTTACTTAAAATAATATTTTCATATATACAAAAATTACTGATGTATATATTACCCCTCCATTATTACATGATTTTTACTTCCTTTTCAATAATAAAGGGAGACACAGGCAAAATTTTAATGTTAGTTTGGAATTTTTCATTCATTATTTTGTAAATGTCCTCAAAATAAATACATAAGACAGTCATAGGAACAAAACTTTTCTCCATATAAAAAATAAATTGGTGGTTTCCTAACTTGACCCGCGTTGGTCAGGTTAGAGCGTTAAGATATCATAATAGTTGTCACAATGAACTCTGGAAATGTTAAAGAACATGTCAAATTATTGACTTTGACTTGTTTCTAAATATATTTACGCTTCAAACCCAAAATATATAGAATTGATAACGAAATTTATGCTAGGACTTTAAAAAATGTCATTTTCGCGTGATTTGAGTACATAAGATCATTTTAATATTTTTGTCATTATTTTGCCTGAGTATCTCTTTAAAATCTTAATAAAAAAATAGTAACTGTTGAAGTATGCAATAAAATATCATTAAATTAACCTTCATTACAATAGCAGACAAGTATGAACATTAGATTGTCCATGCATTTAGTATAGCTTTCTGTTTTCTTTTTGAATATTTGATAATAGATAACAACAGTCTAAAAAATTTTCTTCAGATGTATCTTTGTACCACCAAAGAACAGTAAATTCACTAAGTTTAATATTAAGTAAAATAGACAGCTGTTGTTTAAGTCCTGTCCAAACAAAAGTGTTAGCAAAAATGAACATCATTACTTATACATTAAAATTTTGATAGTTAAGCTTCATTGAATATAACTGCACAAATGAAATCATTTTACTGACCTTGATCAAATGAGTGCTCCAAACTGAGTGTCCTAGACCCTTCAAACTCATCATCAAACTGAAAGTAGAACGAAACATACAAATATTTGCCCACTCACTTTAATCAAAGTTAAGATCATTAAAACAGACTGCTAGTAAAATTCTTAATTTGTCAAAATCTAGTCTTATTTTTTAATTATTTGATCACACACTTAAGTGAAGAGAAAATCCTTTTTACAATAGTCAATATGGCCTAAATAACAATAAAATAGTTGTGTACATGCATATATACTGCACTCGTGAGACATTTGTTACCCCCAGCCAACTAGCCCAAAAGCATTGTGATCTGGTGAAATGAGCTATATTATCACCTTCTAACTCGTTCTAAGTAGGACAAATCATTATGGGTCAAATGGTCAGTTGGGAAAATCGTTAAACCTAAAATGCTGCATTTGTGACAAATGGCATTTTGTTGAAAAATATCAAAACAAAAAAATTGAATAAAATATATTTTTATGGACATTATCTAGTCCTATAAACAAGATGAATTTTTTACTTATTTTTACTTCTTGGCTAACATAGTTTAACTAAAGCCCCCACTTTTACTCATTTACATGTATTCATTTGATTTTTATTCATAAAATTTTAATGTTCACAATATTTCTGACTGTTTAAACCAAATGCCAAGGTTTACTTAACAGAATATTCTCACTATTACCTGTAATAATGAAATTTATCAGTCTAATTGACTTATGCCCAGTAAAAAACCAGATGAGATACAGTTTTCAAGGCTTAATCGTAGCTTATGGTTTAATTAAATACATGTAGCAGCTCACTGTACTTAGTATAGGTTAAAGTTTATTAGTATCACAGTATTTACACAATTAAATTGGTCAGGTCATGCAATTAAATCGCGCAGCCGCGCGACCAATTTAATTTTGTAAATACATACTAATTAATTTAAACCAGCTTAGTGTTTTAAATTATTTTCATAAACGGTCAATTTACTAGATAAGAATAAACAGTTTGCCGATTTACCAAAGTAAATGTGTTACAATTCATTTGAAATACTGCAATCCTATTGAATAAAAAATTTTTTAAACACTTATTTGGGTTGGACACCAAAATTGCTTTGTTAAATTAGAAAATATCACATGCATGATTATGTGTTTACTTTGTCTAACCTATGCAGAGAAACTAAATATGTTAACAAATATTAATATAATGCTGGGAGTTGCTGACAATTGTTTTTATCCAACATATCAAGTAAATGTCAACCTAAAATAAGTAAATTCATAGAAATAATAGAAAAACAATACATTTTTTATATACTTATTATTATGGTAGTAGAATCCCAAACTACAAAATGCCAACCTGTTGAAATTAAGTCGGATTTGTGTTAAATTGTACATCAGAGGTTATATTTAAAAAAACTAGAAATGTGTCCATAGGACACGGATGCCCCCACACGCCACTGTTCTGTCAATCTTATGACTCTCAAGGTCAAATATTTTTTGGACTACATGTGCCACAAGTTGAAAACTAAAAATCAACAAAGGGCCATAATTCTGTTAAATTTTGTCGCAGCGAAAGTTCTTTCCTTTACTACCATCTACACATTAAGGTTGTTAATCCCTGGAAGTTTAAGCAAAATCTGCCATCCGGTTTAAGAGGAGTTGCGTTCACAAAATTTCTACATAGTATATAATGAAAAAATCAAAAAAAGGCCATAATTCTGTTAAATTTGGTTGCAGCAAAAATTTCTTCCTTAATGCCACCTACACATTAAGGTTGTTCATCCCTGTAAGTTTAAGCAAAATCTGCCATCCGGTTTAAGAGGAGTTGCATTCACAAAATTTCAACATAGTATATAGTGAAAAAATCAACAAAGGGCCATAATTCTGTTAAATTTGGTCGCAGCAAAAATTCCTTCCTTTACTACCATCTACACCTGAAGGTTGTTCATCCCTGTAAGTTTAAGCAAAATCTGCCATCTGGTTTAAGAGGAGTTGCGTTCACAAAATTTCTACATAGTATATAGTGAAAAAACCAACAAAGGGCCATAATTCTGTTAAATTTGGTCGCAGCAAAAATTCCTTCCTTTACTGCCACCTACACATTAAGGTTGTTCATCCCTGTAAGTTTAAGCAAAATCTGCCATCCGGTTTAAGAGGAGTTGCGTCACAAAATTTCTACATAGTATATAGTGAAAAAATCAACAAAGGGCCATAATTCTGTTAAATTTGGTTGCAGCAAAAATTCCTTCCTTTACTACCACCTACACATTAATGTTGTTCATCCCTGTAAGTTTAAGCAAAATCTGCCATCCGGTTTAAGTGGAGTTGCGTTCACAAAATTTCTACATAGTATATAGTGAAAAAATCAACAAAGGGCCATAATTCTGTAAAATTTAGTTGCAGCAAAAATTCCTTCCTTTACTACCATCTACACATTAAGGTTATCATCCCTGTAAGTTTAAGCAAAATCTGCCATCCGGTTTAAGAGGAGTTGCGTTCACAAAATTTCTACATAGTATCTAGTGAAAAAGAAAAAATCAACAAAGGGCCATAATTCTGTAAAATTTGGTCGCAGCAAAAATTCCTTCCTTTACTACCATCTACACCTGAAGGTTGTTCATCCCTGTAAGTTTAAGCAAAATCTGCCATCCGGTTTAAGAGGAGTTTCGTTCACAAAATTTCTACATAGTATATAGTGGAAAAATCAACAAAGGGCCATAATTCTGTAAAATTTGGTTGCAGCAAAAATTCCTTCCTTTACTACCATCTACACCTGAAGGTTGTTCATCCCTGTAAGTTTAAGCAAAATCTGCCATCCGGTTTAAGAGGACTTGCGTTCACAAAATTTCTACATAATATATAGTGAAAAAATCAACAAAGGGCCATAATTCTGTTAAATTTGGTCGCAGCAAAAATTCCTTCCTTTACTACCACCTACACATTAAGGTTGTTCATCCCTGTAAGTTTAAGCAAAATCTGCCATCCGGTTTAAGAAGAGTTGCGTTCACAAAATTTCTACATAGTATATAGTGAAAAAATCAACAAAGGGCCATAATTCTGTTAAATTTGGTTGCAGCAAAAATTCCTTCCTTTACTACCACCAACACATTAATGTTGTTCATCCCTGTAAGTTTAAGCAAAATCTGCCATCCGGTTTAAGTGGAGTTGCGTTCACAAAATTTCTACATAGTATCTAGTGAAAAAATCAACAAAGGGCCATAATTCTGTTAAATTTGGTCGCAGCAAAAATTCCTTCCTTTACTACCATCTACACATTAAGGTAATATCATCCCTGTAAGTTTAAGCAAAATCTGCCATCCGGTTTAAGAGGAGTTGCGTTCACAAGATTTTGGGACGTACAGACGGACGGACGGCCGTACGGACTGACGGACGGACAAGTGCAACGCTATATGCTCCCACATTGTGGGGGCATAAAAATGATTGTCAAACATATTTTCAATCATAATTATACTGAAACAGACAAAATTTTCCTTTGGATGTCAAATATATACATTCGTTTTACATTTTCTCTCTGTTCGTGTTTACATCTGCAACCATGTGGTAGAACTACCTTCAATTCGTA